ACTGGCAGATATTTATGACCATTGCAGTGTCCTGCAGTCATGTAATCACCATTTGCACGTTTCACAACTGGCTTCTGACAAGCAGAGTCAATGGAGAAGCTGGCAGTAAAATTGCAAGTCACAGTCATGTGATGTCTCACTTAATGACCGCAGTGATTTGCTTAATGATGGAAACAGAAGTGATGTCTTCAGTCCGGCGTGGTCACATGATTTTTTTTTGCTTAGCAACTGTGGTGCTTGGCGACAGAGTTGCCAGTTCCAGTTGTGGTTGGTAAGTGAGGACTACCTGTGTAGCCATTTGAACAAGAGTTAACCATGCCATTGTAAACGTAAAAGTGGGGCTGTGATAATGCAATTGAAATTAGCTGAAATGAATAATTTCCACATAGTTTCCTTCTAAATAGCTGTAAACAAGGCTGCTTGAACATTTTGAACTGGCTTTAGACTAAATGATGCATGACTCCCCAATCAGTAATGGTGGAAATGTAAAACAATAACTCTTAATTGTAAGTTTATGCCAGGCATAGGTAAGGGGATAACAGAAAAGTCACACTGCAGGAAGAATAAAAATCATTATTCTTCCCCTCCCAATTCCTGTTTTGTCCTGCTTGGTATGCCATCTGCTTGCTCTGCTTTGCCATCTGAACTATTAAGTTTAGTCACTATTACTGCAGCAAAAGCTGCCCTTTATTTCTCAGAAACTGCTTGTTCTGTGACGTATTTTTCTGACCTTGTCAGGATTTCCTTTCACCTTTAGTGCATTAGGCCATGTCTTTAGCAATTTTTTCCAGCAGTATCACTGCTCATTAGAAGGATGTTCATCAAATGTATATAGAGTAAACATCATTGCATAGAGCAGTAAGGCCTTTAGTTTCTCAACCTCATGTCAACATTTTTAGACAGATGCGTTTGTTCTCTCCATTAATACCTGACATAAAGACAGTCAGGAGATAAGCTACCTCCCTTGTTTTCAATGTCTGAAGAGGCCCAGGGAAGATTTCCTTCAGAAATAGTTAAACTTATTCTTTAAGGACAGTTTTCAGGTGTTCCCTTTTTATTTAACCAGATATTCAAGCAATAAATTGCTAGGACTGTATTGTTTAAAAAAGTAATTCTGAAAACAATTGAAAACTATTTTAACTAGCTTATGCCACAGCTGCTATTACTCTCTTTCAACATTGCTTTGCATTCCAAAACATTATTAGCTATGACTCTGGAATTTTTGCCTAATCAAATACTGGAATTAGCAAATATCGTGATTTTATGGACAGGCTCTCTGTGTTGCAGACCATGTCCTAAGGCAACCTGTTTTCACTGCCTGAAGGCTGCTTCCTAAGAGGCTGGTACAAAACTCTCCTTGGACCTTTAAGGCTAAAACGATTGTCATTATCACTCCCTTTTTAGGCAAGATGCTTGAGTGGGTGGTTCTTGTTCAAGTCTTGCCACTTTTTAATGGGGCTGACTGAAAACGTTCCAGAAAAAGAATCAGATTTCAGGCCAAGGGTTGGCCCAGAAAATGCCTCCGTCAGTGTAATGGATATCCTAAGCTACGAGAAGAGGGCTGATTCTCTGGGTGGTATCTGGTACCAGCAGCTAAATTATATCCTGGGTAGGCTGGCAGGCTTAGACTAAGAGCACTTTGTAATGCTCCAAGGATTGTTGATTTCATAGCTCATTTTCTTTCAGGTGGGGAAAATGTATCTCTTAGTTCCATACCATTTATCTTATTCCCATACTGATGACATCCAGTTCTATTTTTCTTACATAAAAATGAACTGAAGAAGTGGAAATGCTTTACTCATGCCTGCCATTAATAATGAGCTAAATAAAGTTTAATTAACCAAGCCTTAATGAACCTAGAGAAAACAAAGGCTGTTGGTAAGAGATCCATATGTCTGAGCTGGTATAATATCACCTGGCTAGGCTTGTTCTTCTCAGTGTAAAGATGGTTAAAATCTAGTTTTGCCTTTGGAGATCTCTATCTATATATTAAGTAGCTTACCCTGGTGTGCCAGCTGAAGCAACATCACAGAAATGGTTTACATATGTCCCAATAGCTTACTCCCATGTTAGGCTAATGAGATACATAAGGCTACAACTGAAGATGGTTCAAACATTCAAGTTAGGCTTAAAATATAGCCATAATTAAGTTAAATATGATTAAGAAACAGAAAAGCTGCCACTATTTTGTATTTATTTACTAATATTTCTATGCTGCTTCATTCCTGAGTGGCATTCAATCATTACAAAAAGGATTTAAAACTCCATATAATTGCAGCCACATAAACAAATAAACAAGCAATAAACAGATCTTAGCAAAAAACTCAAATACTGTCATAGTCCTGCAAAAACTCAGCAAGAGATAACTAATGTTTGAAAGTTATTTCTGATTCTTGGCTCATTTCCAGGTACAGTTCAAGTAGTATTGCCATTTATCTGTAAAAGCAGGGATAAGAAGCTAAAAGCCAGATACAATCTGCCCCTGCAGTTAAGTTTCTACTTAAAAGTCTCCTAGGAAGCACAGAGGGATAACTGGGTTGGGCTAAACATGGAAAACAAAACATTAACCACTATCTGCACAGATAGTAACATGCTATACCCATAAAATAGACTCAAGTGTAAGAATGAGAAACACACTGACTTACGTTTCTTCAAATAACCAACTGTGAATTCACATCCAGTTGATAGATCTGCACAAAGCCTTCTTTGAGAACTTTCCAAGACAGAGGAAGGCTGGCAGGAACTGTGCCCCTTGAGTGCTCATTTCACTCTATGTGGATCCCTTGTTCCCTCTATTCCCAAGGCTGATAGCAAAGAAGAGGACCTCTCTCCAGTTTACTTCTTCACTGTTTCTCCTTATATCTGGCAAAAACTACAACTATGATGTATTGGAATGTCTTCATATGCCCTTTGGTAGTGATTTCCTATTTCATGCAGCCTATGACAAGTGCATTAAATGTGATAGCAAGTTGCCTCCCACAGACATAAATTCCTGGTGTCTCATTTGTCTGGGAGAACAATGTTTTCAAGGGAGAAAGATCTTTCAGCACAGGACAATCTCCTTCAATTACTGGTTTGGCTGCAGTTCCAATCGTTCCAAGGACGTTTGTGATTATGGCAGAACTTCCATCTGCCTGGCTTCTGACTCCAAGTTATATTGAGTTGCTACCAAAATCAATTCCTTGGGCTCTGTGGTGCTGGCTATGGAGTATACAAGCAGTTTTATGATGCTGCTGCTTTACGACTGCGTTTTGATTTTTTTAAAAAAATTCCAAGCTACAGTGGAAGTTATTTGAAGAGTGGAATATAAATACTTAATAAATTGAGATAGTACAGCAGCAAAATTTAATTGATTCTGTTGCAGCATTTTTAACAGAAGGTTCTAAGTGCTTCAAAAATGATTCAGGAGGGGAAAAAAAGGATTTTAGCCTCCATGTGAACAAAGCAGCTCTCTACTATTCAGTAAAGTGCCCTCGCCTTTTTCAGTCATGTGAGGTCCCAAGAACTACTTTAAAATCATTTTTGAGGCACGGACAGCCCTATTAAGCAGCTCTGCACAGACAAAGGAATGGCACTTAACTAATTAGGCCTTGGATAATTTATAAGACTCAAGAAATGTTCAACCTTTCTCACTTGGAAGGACATAATCTGATAGAAAGATATAAGAATGCATGAGTAAAATGCTGACACACTCCATGAAGTGGAGTGTGCTGCTCAGGTGGACAAAGGTGATCATTTCTCAATTCTTCTGCTTTCTCCCTACCACTCTTGGGGAAAGAAAATGTTTCTTCAGAAGTTTGTAGGATCTCTAGAACCAGCTGAAAAATATAGATCACAACATAATTATAGAATCATAGGGTTGGAAGGGACTTTGGAGGTCTTCTAGTCCAATCCTCTGTCCAGTGCAGGAATCCTCATACCATCCTGGACCAATGGCGGTTCAATCTTTTCTTGAAAACCTCCAGTGATGGGGCTTCCGTAACTTCATGAGGCAGGCTATTCCACTGTTTAATAGCTCTCACTGTTAGGAAATTCCTCCCTAGTTCACATTTGGATCTCCCTCTATAAAGCTTCCACCCATTGTTCCTTGTCTTATGCTTGAGTATCCTTGAGTACTGTGGAAAATAAATCCACATCCTCTTCCCTGTGACATCCCTTCTTGGGAAGACTGCTATCATGTCTTTCTTGCTATGGTAGAACTCAGACACCAATGTTCGTTATCCAGGATAAAATTCATTTCCTTCTTCTTTTGTCTAATTTAGGTTTTCAAGGTGGAGATTGGGAGTAGTTCTGGAAAGAATACATATTTTGGTGAAATAATTTTTTATATTCCAAACCTAAGCATCAAAATTTTGTGAAGTTCTTGCTTACAAACACGCTTAACTAAAACCTAACAAAGCAAATGGAGTAACTGGTTCACAAGCTGCTCTGTAAAAACATTTGCATGCCTGTAAGAATTTTTTGTTTCAGGGAATCACCATGACCATCATCAAGGCCATGTTCATTTATTAAGCTAGAACAGGTCATATAAATAAGCAACATCAAAATCCTAGATATATAGGCCTAACTTTCAGTGGCCTGCTGGGGTGATGGGCAAGCAAGGCACAAAACTGTCATCATACATGCTATAATTACATGCTAAGCAGTGGCTGAACCTCTACCATCATTGTTGCTTTTAAATGCACATCACAATAAATACAAACCAACTGCTCTTGTAATACTACAGTTTCCTTCTTCAATTTTCTCCAAACCAAAGACAGGAACAATAGGATATTTCTTGTAAAGCAATTGGTTTCCTTTCTCCACCTGACAAATTCATCTTCCAAATGGAAGCAAATGCAGTTTAGAATGGATCAGTTACTTGCCTTGATAATGTTTTCCATTTTTATCAGTATTGCCACTGTGTCTTAGGCACTGTGCAAAGGGTTTGCAGTAAAAGGGCTGAATTATTTCTTTCAGGTTCTGGGTATAGGATTCACAGAATGTATCTGACTGGCCTCTGTTTGTTAAGCATTTTATTCTGTTTCGGGGGGGAGGGGGTGGTTTTATTTTTTTTTTACAAAAATGCTCTCAAAACACTTTACAAAGATCAGTGGTGATAATGTAAGGCTGAGGCAGAAACGATTTAAAGGCAAAACATACAAGAAGAAAAGCGGACAGAGAAAGACGCAAGCTGAAGCCTCTCCAATGTTAGAATTATAATTCTTATAACAACTCACTAGGAGAAAAAAATAGTATGGGTGGCCACTGAAGATGGCAAAAGCCATTTTTCCTTCAGCTGAAGAGATGAACCAGTTCTGCTTCTCCTCTAGTATGATGGGGTTCTGATCCATAGTGATTTTGTGATGTTCTTATGTCTTTAAAAATGATAGCTTGGCAGAGGGAGTATTGCAAATGCCAAAATAAATACAAAAGGTGAAGCAACAATTATTGAGAAAAGGAAAAAAATTGAAGAAGTGGGAAGTACAAATAAAAGGAATAGGGTGACTGAAAGAAAGCACAGGAGCAAGGGGAAAGAATTCGAAACAATGAATATGTTAAATCAGATATAGGATACCATGCTTTCTGCCATTTAACTTACTAAATGAAAGAAAAAAGTTATACTACCAACAGAACTTTTAAGCAGATTTGATTCTTGAAGAAAATGAAATCATAAGGTTTGTGAAAACTGTTTCCAGATGCTACAAGCCCCAAAGTGCAAAAATGTCCAATAAATTATTTAGGAAGAAATGAAATGATGCCTAATAGTTTCATTTTTGAAGAATTGTTTAGACACCCATTGTTTCAGTTTAAGTTTTTAATCTGCTTTGTGAGTAAATCCAGATCTTCATCCTCATCCTCCAGGCCGCTTAAGTTTTTTTCATCACCTTTCTCAAATACATCCTTTCTGTTCTTCTGTCTTCGATGGTTTTGGGAAGGCTTCTCCTCAGTATTTTCCAGATTTGTCTGAATTCTATGAAAAAAGGCACACAGTAATATTTGTCAGGCTTTATTCCTGGTAGGAAAGGAAAAGAGAACTTTTATCCATTCCCCCATGTGGCACAAATCTAGTGCAAAAACAGATGGACTGCAACCAAGCAGAGGAAGGTGAGGTAGACAGAACAAAGTGATGTCTCATGTTGGCTAAAGAGACATGCTGGTACAGGCATAATAAGAACATTTTTTCTACCTGGAGTGTTCATGTCTAATGGATCATTTCACCAATCAGACAAGAGCCACTATCTGCTTCTTATGACACAAAATCTAATACTGTTTAGTGTTCCACATTGCAAAGCAGTCAATAATTTTAGCTGCAGGCTGTGGGTAGAAATACACCATATATTTCAATGAGTGTGTGTGTGTGTGTGTGTGTGTGTGTGTGTGTGTGTGTGTGTGTGTGTGTGTGTGTGTGTGTGTGTGTGTGTGTGTGTGTGTGTGTGTGTGTGTGTGTGTGTGTGTGTGTGTGTGTGTGTGTGTGTGTGTGTGTGTGTGTGTGTGTGTGTGTGTGTGTGTGTGTGTGTGTGTGTGTGTCACCAACAGGACAGAAAATACTAGTATTATTAAATACTACTTTAAATGTTTAAAATTCTAAATAATAAAATGCCCATTAGTTAATAGTCTAGAAAAGCAATACTTAAAAAACACACTAAAAGCCTTGCATAAACCCTGGTAGTTCCATCCTATTCATTTGGGCAGATTTAAGCAGCTAAAGTTCAGTAGCTGTGCAAGTATAATTTATTTATCCAATGAAGCTTAATTATAATTTTCTGATTGTACCCAGTTTTGCCCTAGCAGATTAATCTGGAAAGCTCTAAAATAAGGGAAGTAATTCAAACCATCAGTTGTAATAGCAAACCTAAATACACTCTTGTGGAATCACTGAAGTTATTGCTTTGTCTTCTCTGTCAGCTTTCATGCAACAACACCTGATTATCAGCAGGAAAATGGGAAATTGCTACTTGGACTTTTGTAGCCCAAGTTTGGTACCCTTAGGTCAGAGTGAGCCTGTTTCCCATCTTCCTGGTGGCATCCCTACTCTGGCCAACTCTGCTCTTCTCTCTCTGAACTCTTTTCATTCAGTTTGACCATCTTAAGATCTGCTATTTGTTGAAGATTAGAACTTGAATTTATCCCCCCACCCTTGTAATATTTTATCAACCCCTTACATAGCCTCTTTAGCCAAATAAGCAACTCTTCCCCCACCCCCAAACCTGAAATGCCAATGATTTCAAGAATTACTGAAAAACTGAAGGGGAGATACAACAGATCTGGACAACAAGGAACCCAAGGAAAAGGAAATATCACAGGCCTGGAAGATAAAAAGACAAAAAAACCTTTGTACTCAGCCTACTGACCTTCCTATTTGCTTTTCTCTTGAACACACAGTCCAGTTCATCAAGGTCCTTCTTAAAATAAGCCATCAAGAACTGGACACACTATTCCAAATTTGACCTAATGATGAATGGAATGGAATTGTTACTTTTGGTAACCCATCAAACTACCTTTAAGTTTGTTTGGTTTTTTAGTAACTGTTGATTCACAATCAGTTTATGGTCAATTAAGATACCCAGATCCTTTTCTACTATAGTGTTCCCAAGCCAGATTTCCTAATCTTATACAGGTGAAACTCGAAAAATTAGAATATTGTGCAAATGTTCATTTATGTCAGGAAGGCAACTCAAAAGGTGAAACCAATATATGAGATAG